GAATATGTTTGGAAACCACTGGGGGGGTGGGCGCAGAAGAAAAAGTTTGGGAACCACTGCTGTAAGATATATCAATGTGTATATTTTTTCAGCTATGCGTTATAAGTCACTGACCAGGACGTTAGGAGCAGCAGCTCCCCCTGTGGTGAATTAGAGAGATAACGACTTAATAAAAACTTCAAAAGTATCAAATGGCAAAAACATCAACTGTCCTAGTCGGTGGCGATGCTGATCAAAATATTATTTGCTGTTATTTGGTTATAGACCACAAAAGACAAGGTTAGCATTACAGCACAGCTCACTACCACAGGAACTTCAAAGTGTAGATTAAAAGTAAACTGAAATCTTTCAGCTCCTGCTCCCAGTGGTACCCAAAAGGTAGACAAGCAATTGTAGCCTAGGTCTTTATTATATCTGAGAATGTAATGATAGTTAAAAACAATAAGAAAGTTTGTTAGTCTACAAAAAACTGAGACAAAATACAACAACAGCTGACAAACAAGTGAGCATCCATGCTGTGTTTTATTAGCTTGTCTGTCGTCTCCTGTCTGAATAAGGAATAAAAACAAACAGTGATTGTCAGTAACTCATAAACTAGACAAACTTAGTAAAACATTAAAAGCACATAGCAGTAGAAGCCTGATTACCTTCACTAATCTCCAAGCTGATGACTCTCTGATAGCATGAACTCATAAAACACTGTTGAGGGCTAGTGAAGTGTTAATCCCCACCATGACCGCTCCTTTGTTTTTACTTCTCTGGCTTCTTGAACTTCGGCTCAGTTGTAATATTTTGGGTAAGGTGATATAAGGGCGCAGTTCAGAGCTCCATTGTTTGATGTTTTTTCTGGAGAAAAGGTGAATAACAAGGTTAAGATGTTTGAGGCAGCAGGGGGTTAGAAGCCCGGGGTGTTTATGTTTCTCACATGGACCTATTGCTTTGATTGTGAAGCTGCCTCTTGTTATATTATGGGTGTGTGTGTGTGTGTGTGTGCGCAGCTGAAATTCACTAACACAAAGATACAAGCGGCTCCTGCTAACTTGAAAGCATGTCTTCCCTCCAGGTGTACGTGGACATTCCCGGCGGGTTGAACCTGTCGCTCTCGTTGCCTCTGGTCATCGGCACCATACCGCTCCATGCCTGCGCCACCCGCACCTCCAGTATCAGCAGCAACTGCAGCTCGGTCAGCTGGATGGGCCTGCCAGAGAGACCTGAGGGTACGCAAGGGGTTAAACACACGTTTTCTGCCCTGCAGCTCTTTTGGGGACAGAACGATATCTTACACCTTCTTGTTTTCTGCAGCTCCACCAAGCTACAGCGATCTGGCAATATCAGAGGCTCACAGGCGGAACTGTCTGCAGGGCTGTGATAGGTCTGATGGGGAGGGAGAGGGCCAAGGATCTGTGCTGACATACATCACAGAGTTCAGATATCTCCCCCCACCACTCTACTCTGAGGTAAACACACACACACAGAGCATGTCAGTGGTTTAGTGTTGACAAGGTAGTAAATGTTAGAAATGCAGAAAACTTATTTAAAACACACAAAACAGGCGTAATAATACTATTCAGAAAGATGCAAAAAAAAAATAATAATAATAATAACAAAAAAAAGTAAGTTACAAACTGTACACAAAATGTCCACACTGAAGCATACATGTCTACGATTTTTCACAGAGCTGGACCTAAGAACAGAAACATGTACGATGCCACAAGATAAACCAGACAAATAAGAAAGATTCAGAAAACACTTCAATAAAAAATGTGGTGTACAAAAACTTTGGTGCAAAAACATTGTAAGAGTGTGTGTTGATCAAATGAGGAAAATCCTTTTTCTGCAACTTTGTGCCAAATATTACTAAGAAGGTAAAGAAGCTTTAAGACTTCACAATGCCTTTGAATGAAAGTTGATAAAATCCAACTACTTTAGGTTAAAGTAGCTTAACCTAAACAATCAAAATGCAATGAATGCAAATCGCTGAAAAATTCTGTATAAATAAAATGTGTCCAAAATATTAAATAAATTCAGTAAAAATTTGATTAATTAAAACTCATCAAAATCAAAGATGCACCAAGCAAGAGTTTTGTGGACGTTTTCTCATCTCTGCTTTTTCTAAAACTTTCTCCAATTTGTATCGATTGTAGATGAGCGTTCAGAATTTTTTTTTCAAGCCTTCCTGCTGTGAGCGCTCATTCATTTTTTATATTAGGAGCAGAGGTGACGTCACATCATACCTGTGAAACATTGTTTTACTGTTTTAATACAAAGACAAAATGACTACATAATTTTTGAATTGTTAAAGATTAGCCCAGTTGGAGCAGCTAGCATCACAAAAACAGCCGTCTTCACTTACCTTAGCTATAGCTACAGTAGGTCAGGGAACACAGTCGTCCTCGCCAAAACTAAATCTGTGAATTCTTGAACCCCCCTCTAAAACTAAATAGTTCAAAGTCCAAATACATCCTAATATTCATTATTATGCACAGCAGAAACCATCTTACCATTAGCACAGTTACTAACATCTGGAGTCTTCCTCACTATTGTACAGCCAGTCAGCGCCGAGTGACTGCAAAAAATAGGCAGGGGCCACACAGAGCTGGTTGACTTTACTTCACTGTGTGTTGTGTTATCTGTGAAAGCTAGATGTGAAGTTATTAGTACTTTATGTTACTCACACTAAGTGAAATGAAAAGAAAAGTAGCTGAACCCTTACCTGCTGACTAGCAACAGGCTCTTACAGGGGAGTCAGAGAATTCAGTGTCATTCTTCCTCCCTCCTGTCCTCAGGTGGACCCGTACCCCGACACCGTGGAGGTCTGTGGCACTGCAGACGTCCGGAGACCTGACATGTGTCCGTCCCGCTGAGGGGGTCCTACCCAGTCTACCCATGCTCAGCCAGAAGTCCCACATGACTTCTCACCAGGATGTCACTGTAGATGTGGCTGGACCCATGCTGACCTGAGGACAGCCGACCGACGGAGTCCACGGTGACTCATGGACGAGACGGACCAGGGTTACGTTGGACAAACCATTTCCCGTCCTCGAGACGAGGACAAAACCAATGTCCTCTGACAGCGGCGTGAAAAACTGTCCTCCCCTCCCACCAGAAGACGTCTCCTCCTGCCTCACAGAGAGGTTTGCACATGCCGTTCCAACCGGTTCCCTCTCAGAACGCCGCGGGCCGACATGCCTCAGTAGACGGAACGTCCGCAGTGCTCTAACTGGCACATAGTGAAGAGAGCTGTCTCCACAGACAGCTGAGCTCAGCGCTCCGGCCCGAAGGTGGAAGTCCGGTGAAATTCCCTGAGATTCTCCAACTCAAACCAGAAACAAGACGATGACGACAGAAAAGTGTCACATCAGCGACCAACTCAAGGGCTTCAAAGCTCAAGTTGAGTGTGAATGTGTGTGTGTATGTCCGTGCATGTATGCGTGTGTGTGTGAAGGCTACAGGGTGTGTGTCGACTTAAATGTTAGGACAAAGCACAACTCGGACCAACCCAGACAGTGTACCACAAGTTGCCTGTTGGTTTCTGCTCTGAGATGAAGCCTGTGTAGCTGCAGATTCTTCCACGACCCGGACGGATGTTAGAACGCAAAAAAAAGAAAGAAAGAAAAATAACAGATCAATGTTTACAGAGAATTATATCAGATTAAGAATGTTCAAACACATTTTCTTCCACCTAAAAGTTCAGATTACCAAGTGCAATATATTTTTTTATATTTGAGGGGTTTTTTGCACTAGTTTTTCATGTACTCTGTTGCTGTTTATTCCATTTCTGTGCATTATATATTATTGTCATGATCTTGTTGCTTTCACGATCAACTTTGGATCAAATAAAAGGTTTATTTTCTAAAATAATCCAATGACTCAATTGTTTGTTGCTATGGCTACAGGTTATAGCACCTTGCCACGTTTTTCCACAACCTGAACCTAAAACCTCCACATTGGCATTTTATGTGACAAAACCAGCATGGACTATTTGTGAGGAGACAGGAATGTAATATATAGTTTTAAGAGGTTTTTTTTTTTTTTTTTAATAAAAATTTGAGGAAAATCCAACAATTCAGCTGAAAGATGAAGCTCCGCCCCAACCTTAAACAGTTTCCAGCTGTGACCGGTTTTTGTTCCGGATTGCCCTGAATGCATCACCTCCCCAGGCAGAGCTGCATGACATGAGAGAAATAACCAGAATACTTTTAGTTTTCATGTGATGACAGTGTCAGTTACGAGGAACACAAATGTTCCTCACATTTCCTTTTATTCTCTATCAAGGGAAGCAAAAATACATCTAATTGTGCTCACCGCAAATCGCAAATCATCTAAAATATACATAATATTTACATCTAAGCAATTATTTTCAAGTAGCAAACGAAAGATGGTGCTGCCGGTAGAGCTCTGCTGAAAGTAAAGGCTTTTAAAGGCGCAGTACTGATCATGTCAGCGGCTTACATCACTGACTGCTCCAACCCAAACCGATCTACTACAGATTTCTTCTGGAAGTCCATCCTACCGGGAAATTAGAACATTTCCTGTTTTCAGCAGAAGAGTAATGTGAGTTATGAAGAAATGTTTTTGGCCACAGATTTCAGTGATGTCAAACAGCAGGAGGTCACGTCTCAGTTACAGTTCACACTGTCTGATCCAGATGAAACCTCTCCACCTCACACTGATTTCACTTCTATTTTTGCTTGTAATGCTTATTAGAATCCATAACAGGGAGCTTCACAAGCTGTCCCTTTATTAATGATCCATGTTTGATCAACTTATCAGACTCAGTTGATCAGTTTGGATGTCACTTTGTCCGGCCTCATTCAGTTCAGTTCTGTAGCTCCAGTTCAACACACGTCAACAAGTCATTTCAGTCCAATCATACAAACATTCCAGTTTATTGAAAAAAAAAAAAAAGGTATCAAGTTCAGTTCATCATTCAAATTTATTAAAAACGTTTGAGTCTCAGTAAACCCAGCAGACTGCCTGGAGCCATCGACTAGCAGCATTCACTCCAACATGTAGCGACAGCAGACATGGTGATGTTTACAGCAATTCCTCATAGTTAGCATAGTTAAACCCCCTTTAACGGCAGGAAACCTCCAGCAGAACCAGAACCGGGCTCAGTACAAACGGCAAAAAACAAAACAGAAGATCTGATGTAGAAGTGCTTCCTTATGTAAGACCAAACTAAAAGTTAGTACCAGGAGAAGGAGGAAGCTTAACTTAGTGTTGTTGGCAGTTGAAGTCCAAGAAGATGCCAACAGCCAATCGGAACGCCAGACCAGAGAGAGAGAAAAAACCAACAGAAAAGAAAAAGTTAGCAGTTGTGTCATGAGGAAAAGTTCATCCTGCAGCAGCTTACGCATACAGCAGACATAACTCAGGATAACCGAACACTTACAATGAGGCAGGAGAGGGAATCTTTAAAATCAGAGCCCAGATATGAGGAAAGCACCGATCCACTTTTTTCACTGCCGATACCGATACAGATATCTGAGATTTGGTATCGGCCGATATCGATCTAATGCTGGGTTGACTTAAAGCGTTCTTTCTTTTTTAAACACTGACATAAATGTGCTGAATTATAAATGTGTTTAATAACTCTGCACCAGAACAGCTCACTGAAATACACCAGGAGCGTCACAAGCTTGTTCAAACGTGGAAGAACAACTTTCATTTTTTCAGTCAGTGTTAGGAGTAGGACAGTGAAATAAATGATAAACTGAAACTGAAATGAACTGCAACAAACCTTCTGTCAAACGGGTTAGACCACACAGTAAGGAATTCTAAATATAATGTAGAATAAATACTAAAGCATGTCACTTAAAGCACAAAGTATATAATTAAACTGACCGAGATAGACTGATACAGATATTATCTGAAATGTGATCTTCTTTTTCCTCTTTACTTCTTCCACCCAAATAATCCCAGTAAGGTTTGTTTAGTCTCTCTGTTAAGTCTGACACCAATTTTAGATTCCATTTTAGGCAAAAGACAAACTTTAGTCGCTGTAACCTAAAACGCATGAATCTGCTATGCAGAGGAAATCCTTTTTAGGGCTTCCTATGAAAAAAGACATTGATTTCAATATACATTCCTGCATCACAAAAGCTGAAACTTCACCAGCTGAGCTGTGAAGCTCCACCGCCAGCAGGCTGGGCCTAAAGCAGTTTGAACCGGATCCTTCAGCAACATCTCACTGGAGATTATCAGCACACAGATATTTGTTTCACGTGGAATAGTTTGGTTTCTGGTCCGCGGTATGACTCCTTCTTTTAGATCTTTATTCTGGATTATTCTGGACGTTTGTAAGTGCGCCTTGCAATGGAAGCAGGTCGTTCTAAACAGACAGAACACCTGCTGACACAGCAGGTTTACCCATGATCAGACAGAAGGAGCGACTGAGCGTCAGGGATCTGTTCACAGCCGCCTGCAGGAAAACTCATCCTGCCCGAATCCCATCGCTCTGTTTTAATTTGACTCATAAAAACACATTTATGCTCACATTCCAACACACACACACACACACGCACACACACACGCACACACACACACACACACACACACGCACACACACATGCACACACACAGATGCACACACAAAAAATGAGAGGTCACATGAAAAATGTTTTGGCTCCGTTATACAGGCTGCTTCTGTACGGCTGATAAACAGAAACTGGTTTGAACTGGCTGGTGAAGCAGGGAGAGGCAGCAGAGAGAACAGAAGAGTGTGGCATTGTTGTAGCAGCGAGGGCAGAAACAGTCCCAACAAGACACACACACACACACACACACACATACATGCACACATGCACATTCACACACCTGGAAGATGAGGAAACACTGATACTGAAAATAGAAACGTACAAAATGTTATGCATGTCAAAGTTTCCTGCATAGACATAAAGAAAAGCCAACTGATGTATAAAACAGCATGAATAACATAATGAATGCACTGAGATCAAAGTGCATATGGCCTCCTTCCTAACATAATGGCCTAAGTCAATTTCTGCAACAACAACAAAAATTAGCACCTATTTATTCTCAAAAGATAATTTAGGGGGGGGGGGGGGAATCAATTTTGGCCAAAAATGACTTGAGCCATTATTCTAGGACGGTTCTGATAGTTGTGGTTCATTCCACAAACTTCAGTATATTTCATTTGGAATTGTTGAAGTAATAAAATCAAATGTATGTTTGAAGCACAACAACAGCTGTTGACAAAAGCGCTGTGTATTTTAAAAATGACAGGAAAAACAAAGGAAGATATGATTAAATTTAAAAATTAAAGTATAAAGTGAGAAACATGAGAAAAGAAATAACATGATCACAGTGAACAGAACTCATTCTGATTATAAAGGCGAGACATAAAATGAGTTTCCTTAAAATTAATCCTTACACTGACTGACAGACAATTCATTTACTTTAGGAAAATTTAATCAGACAAATTAATAGAACCTTTTTAAAGACATCATAGAATTATGTTTCAGATTCATCTGAGTCAATAAAATGCAAGCAAAGGCATATTAAAAAAATAGAAGGAAGGTATTGATCAGGAATCGGACAGGGGCAAGAATAGACCCTTGGGGGACCCCACAACAAAATGAGGTTTTTGAGGAAAGATGCTTTTGTAGACTAACAACTTCCTCCACAATACAGAACATTCAAAGCATTTGAACGCGACTAATCCAGAACCTCAGGGCTCAGTGCGTTGCTCCAGGGAATCAAACCAGGAACCTGCAGCCACAGAGCGCTGCCCAACTGTGAAGTCAAAGGAAAATGAGAGCCGACTTTCAAATTACAAACAAAGTCAATACTTTGTAAAGTGAAGAAGTCTGTAACGTCCCGTGTCTCTTTGCACATCTACAGACGGCAATTTGTTTTCAGGTGGATTTCTGTCTGGACTTTGACTGGGCCATTCTAAAAATGAACATGCTTTGAAATGGCCGTCTATTGTCTGTATTTCACAAGTCATACTGATTAGATTTTTATTTGTGACACCTTTGGAAAACCATGAAACATTTGAGTTCCACTTAGCAGTAATGTGCTTCTTGTGTTTGTCTGTTGTGGAAAATCCTCAACTCCCTAAATTAAATAAACTACAACTGAAAACAAGGTTTTCATAGAATAATGTTTCCTTCTTTCTTCTCGTTGCTGACCTTCAGGAGTTCCTCAGTCTGTGAGATAAGAACGGAGCTCACTGGTCTGATGTTTAGGAAAACACAAACAACCAGGCCAGGACAAGCAGACCAGACCAACGCTTGGGGAACAGGCCTGCGTCTTTATGCAACACAAGAAAAGCCAAACAG